CTTGCACAGCCATGCAGTCAATTGCATATGAGAATTAATCTGGGTTAAAAAAACAAACCAACTAGAAGTGTTAAGTTTTCAGCAACACCATATCAAATCTTTCATTCATTTCACCGCCCACTCATATTTGCTCAAGCGCTGCCACAATCAACCAAAAGAGCATGACCACACATTTTGCCAATAGCTTTCACTTTGATCTATTTAAAGCCATTGTGAAATGACAGCTCTTAACTGACTATGAAAGCTCTTAGATCCTGCGGGATCATGAATGAGCAGGGTCCTTGGCAGTGACAGAGTGGGTGGCCGGGTCAGTAAAGAACGTTTGAAAGACACAGCAGACAATGTAGTTGTAGATAGCAACTCCGGAAAGGAGAAAACAAGGTATCTAGCATATTGGGAAAAAAAGAAGAAAAAAAATAAAAAATAAAAAAGAAGACAGCACCTGGAAGCTATGGAGAATCACTACCGAATCAACATATGTAGGTTATAGTCAGAATAACTGGGTTTAACAAGTACCCTTCAGTTAAGGTCTCTTAGCAATTGCACATGAAAAAAAAAAACAAAGTCTCTTTCATCTGAGTTGTGATAAAACAGAAGTGTGGCCGTCCTGTTTGAGTGGATGCTAGGAATAGCAGCTCTATTTAAGGTATCATTTGAATGTACTTCCTTGGTATGATGAGAGTTTATAGCTGCTAGAAGAGGTTTCCTGGCTTGAGTGGTCATTTCTGTTATGGCTATTAAAGTATTTCTAATGTTTTTTTACGAGCATGGGTTGTAACTTTTGACCAGGATAATCTTTGGTTGCTTTCAGTAATTTGTCAGAAATCTCTGTTTTTTAGAAAATGTGAGTAGTGTTAATACATGAAGGTTTTGGTGAGGTTATTAGACCAGAGTAATTCTTCTGGCACATAGCATAGTACTCAGGAGTGGAATAGTCCATTTTCTAAAGCAATGTGACATACAGCAGCCTTAGTTCTTGTGACTTTATCACAAGTATCAGGATAGTAGTTTCTTCATCCAGTTATGCATGTTCTAGAGTGAATTTTGGACAGCTACAGCTTTCATTTATAAGAGGAAGGCAGTAAAACTCTTCCTCCTAAAGGCAGAACAGGATCTGAAAGTATGAAA